TCGTGCAATAGTAAAACAGTATTCCTCAGCCCAAAACATCATTTAAAAATATCATTTAAGTCTCAAAACTGAGTAAAAATGGCTGAGTAGTAAAACAATGGAAAATAACATGACTGAGTTCAAGTAATAAGTCAAAATAGTGGGAAAATAGTAATAAAAATCCCCGAATGGTTCAAATAGTTGGCACAAAGCCCAAATATGGCAATCAGCCCAAATCATGATGATAGCAAATAAGTTTCAGTCAAATACGCGTTAAAATCATCAATCGGGACGGACCAAGTCGCAATCCCCAATAGTGCACGACCCCACGCTCGTCATCGAGCATGTGTCTCACCTCAATATAGCACTACGATGTGCAAATCAGGGGTTTCAAACCCTCAAAGCATCATTTACAATCATCCTCACCTCAAACCGGCTAAATCCCTAGCTCACGATGCCTTTGCCCCTCGAATCGGCATCCACGCGCGTTAAGTCTATCCAAAATCAGAACTAGTACATCAACATATGCTAAGAGAACAAAGCCCAAGCGAAAACAATCAACAAAGGGCACAAATGCCGAAATTACCAAAACCCGACCCCCGGGCCCACTTCTCGAAAATCAGAAATTTTTACATCAATAGATTCCTTATCTCCCCACGAGTTCATACATATCAAAAGTTCTCAAATCTGACCCCAAATGGTCCTTTAAATCCACAATTAAAGGCCTAATTTCTCAAGCCCTAGTTTCCCCAATTTTAACCTTTTAATTCCTTTAACTACAGCCTTAATCCATGAAATTCTATCATAGAAATGTGTTTAAGTCCAAATCGTCCAAAAGCTCACAAGCCGAAGTCAAAAATGATGAAATAACCCAAATTTTGCGAAGAACCCTTTTTATACTTTCTGCTCAGTTAATCCGCATCAACGACACCATTGTTGCTTCTGCGGTACCGCATATGCGGTCTCTCTTCCGTATCAGTGATCTAATCTCCGCACCTGCGACTCCGCAGGTGCGGTCCAACTACCGCATCTGCGGCTCCTGACTCTTCCTCTCAAACCTTCTTCTGCAGCTTCTCTTCCGTACGTGTGGCGCCGCACTTGCGGTCCCCAAACCATAGGTGCGAAAAAACCAGAAGCAGAAAAATCTCAGCAGTTGTAATGACATCTCAACTTCTCCGACGACCACCCCAAATCATCCCGAGGCCCCCGGGACCTTAACTAAAAGAACAAACATAACCCAATACCTTATTCAAACTTGTTCCAATCATCAAAATGCCTCAAACAACATCAAATCTACCAAATCACATCAGATTCAAGCCTAAGTTTCTAAAATTCTTCCGAAATACGATTTCGATCAAAAATCCAACCAAACCACATCCGAATGACCTGAAATATTACACACACATCCCAAATGACATGACGAAGCTACTGCAACTCTCGAAATCTCATTCCGGCCCGATATCAAAATCTCGCCTACCAACCGGAAATCGCCAAAATATGAACTTGGCCAATTCAAGCCTAAAACTACTCCAACCCTCCAAAACCCATTCCGATCAAACTCCTACGTCATAAATTACCTCCCAAAGCTAATCGAACCATCAAAACTCGCATCCGAGCCCTCTAACACATAAGTCAACATCCAGTTGACTTTTCTAACTCAAGCTCTATTAAAAGAGACTAAGTATCTCAAACCTTACCAAAATCATTCTGGATTCGATCTGACCAACCCGACACCACATGACATGGTAAACAAAGCATAAAGAAGCAAAAATGGGGAAAACGGAGCGGTAACTCATTAGACGACATGGCCTGGTCATCACAGTCTACATCAACAGAAGAAAATAAAAGGGCTATCACTATAAGATAGAATGGAAAGGGGCTCCTTGGTCTGCGGATGCGATAGATATACCTCAAAGTCTCTGGGATAGTCGCCTCGCCTCAAGGATGATAGGACTGAGTCAAAGTACCTGGATCTGCACATGAAAAACATGCGTAGAAGGGGCATGAGTACACCACAGCGGTACTCAGTAAGTGACAAGCCTAACCTCGGTCGGGTAGTGACGAGGAAGGTCAGGGCCCTACTGAGGTTAAATAAAATATAAAGTTCGACAGTGTAGAACAGATCAGTATAAATAAGTACACTAGTAAAAGTAACACAAGATATAAAAGGGCAACAACAACTATTACAGAGGCAAGGTAAACACTGAAAAAATAAGGCTCAACACCAAAATAACAATCGAGGATCTCCCAGGATACCATCATGTAGTCCCAATTATACATATCCAATGGATCTCCCAGGATCCCGTCCCATAGTCCAACTCATAATGCACGGGGATCTACCGAAATCACGTTCCGTAGTCACAAATGTAAATACCCAGTATTCGAGGAATCTACCGGATGCAGTCCCGTAGTTCCATATAATTGTGCAGGGGGATTACCGGAATCCCATATCCGTAGTCCCAAATAAATAGACAAGGGGTAGCTACCGGAATCCCACATCCGTAGTCCCAAATAAAAAGGCAAGGGGGAGCTACCGGAATCCATATCCATAGTCCCAAATGTAATTACGTAGCAGCATCAGGAAAACATTCAGAAATATCAATTTCATATCAAGGAAAACAAGTAATTCTATCCTAGCATGTTGCACGGAATTCAGGTAAAGCAGTTTGAGCAAATAATGCAATTAAAACACTTAGACATGCTTTTCTAAGCTAACAACAGGCTTTAAATGTAGGTAATATAAATAGGAAAAGAAACATACTAGTAATTACTTAATGAAAACTGGATTTTTAACAATTAGCACAAGTATGCACTCGTCACCTCACGTACAAGGCATTTCAATTAATAGTAATACCAAATCCTAAGGGGAAGGTCCCCCGCACAAGGTTAGGCAAGCCACTAACCTCGAACCAGCTCAAATCAATCTGAAACCACGCTCTTGCCACGAGTATCTGACTCTAAATGTCCCAAATCTATCTAATTCAATTGCATAATGTAAATAACACTTCAAGTAATTGATTCTACAAAGAAATTCTAAGCTAATACGTGAAATTAGGTAAAGTGACCAAAACACCCCTCGAGCCCATGTCTTGGAATTGGGTAAAATTTTATATTTCCAGGATCCTCACACTCTCACGAGTTCAGTCATAATAAAAGTACCAAAATCGGACTTCAAATGGTCCCTCAAATCATCACTCAAATGTCGCTAATTAGTCAAGCTCTAACCCCCAAATTACTACTGATTTTCCTTAATTTTTCATGCTTATAATGATAAAAATCACTCCAATATCGAGTTTAGGACCAAAGACCTTACCCCCAATGAACTCCTCTGAAAATCCCTCTTGAAAAATGCTCCCCAAGCTTCTTCCCATTTGAAAAGTGGTGAAAAATAGCTAAATTTTGCGAAGGCAAGTATTTATATGTTTCTGCCCAGTTAATCCACTTCTATGGCCCTAGGACCGCATCTGCGGTCCCGCTTCTACGAGGACATGGTCGCATCTGCGACCTTTCACTTAAAGACCAGCTTCCGTACCTGCGATTACCCATTCGCAGATGCGGTACCGCTTCTGCGGTAAGTCTCCTTCATCTGTGGACCCTGCTGATCCTCCCCAATTCCGCTTCTGCAATTGCTCCACCGCTTCTGCAACTCCGCACCAGCGGGACCCAACCGCCGGTGCGGTTATGACAGATATCAGCTGCTTCAAACCACTTCCAATTCTTCCGACAACCATCCGAAATCATCCCAAGGCCCCCGAGACCTCAACCAAAAGCACAAACAAGTCTAATAACACTGTCCAAACTTATACCACTCCTTAAAACACCTAAAACAATATTGAAATGACGAATCAACCACGGATTCAAGCCTAAGAACTCCAAAACTCTAAAAATACGCTTTCGATCAAAAAGTCTATCAAACCTCGTCTGAATGACATGAAATTTTGCACACACGTCATATTCAACACTACGGAGCTACTCCAACTTCTGAAATTCCATTCCAATCCTCGGATCAAAATCTCACTATCGAACCGGAAACTTCAAAATTCGACTTTCGGCATTTCAAGCCTAAATTAGCTACGGACCTCCAAAACACTATCCGAACATGCTCCTAAATCCGAAATCACCCAACGAAGCTAACGGAACCATCAGAATTCCATTCCGAGGCCGTCTTCATACTGTTCCGACTACGGTCAAATTTTCAATACTTAAGCTCTCATGTAGGGACTAAGTGTCCCAAAACTCTCCGAAACTCAAACCAAAACATCCCGGCAAATCAAAATAGCAGGAATAAATACGGGGAAAGCAGTTAATAGGGGATCGAGGCATTAATTCTTAAGACGACCGGCCTGGTCGTCATAGCATGACAAGTATTTTATGCGGATGATCTTTCTAATAAAGGGTGGCATGTCGTACGAAAGTTTCAACCTCGTGATTGTTTTGACATTATGCAGAAAGAGGATGGTGATTATGAGGAGTTAGATAATTCTACACAAATGAAAAGAAAAAGAACTCATTAAGGTTTGAAACTTTATCATGTATGCTTTTAATTTGTTAAATTCTTTATGATGTTCATACTGGACTCATTTGATTAGCAAGTTCAATAGCATGAAAGGGAAAGGTCTTTAAAACCCATTGAGTTGTTGTTTATTAACCGAATATATATGCACTTATGATAAAATTGTCTTACTAACTATCTGTATCTCTAAGTTTCTATGTGTTTTTTGTTTCTACTAATTTTCTCCAACTATGTTTATTGCCTGCCAGCCTTCTAGCTTATTTTCAAACCATTCACATAAAGATGATTCATCTGAAGAAGCATCTTCCAAGTTCAAAGTTCGTCGAAATATAAAACTTATTTGATATTGTATCTTTCAGATATTATTTTTAGTTAATCCATTTAGGTCGGAATGTGCTCTCATGTCTCAAAAATAGTCAATGTGCTAGTTGGCATCTCTTTTCTTATTGACAACTTGCTGAAATTTTTTTCTTGTTGCGGTAGCTTAATAATACTCTTCTTTCTTTTGTTCTATTAGGTTGACATGAATCCATCAAAATCTCGGAAATATGAAATGCAATCAACTTCAAAAACTATTAAGCATTCATACGTTGCACTATGCCTTAGCAAGGGGACAAAGGCAAAGCTTTAGATCATTGGGTTAGGTAAGGGTGAATGCTGAACAGAGACTCCCAATTGGAAATAGCAAAAATCGTAATGCAACAGCTTTTTATCTGAATGAGCTAGCTCAGAATACAAATCTTGCACCTCCTGGTTTTGATCCACTAGAAGATGATGTTTCCCTTCCTCAAGAAGTTGAAGTGATGCAAGACACTCAAAGAAGCAAAATAAGTATTTTTTTGTCTCGGTTTATAATATTTTTTGCTGTTATTGGATTGGTCTTTTCTTTTGTGATTAACTTAAATTTGAAAGTAGCAGGTCCATGTGAATCTAAAAGGCAAAAAAGTGAGGAAAGAACAGATGTAAAAATGTTCTAGGACTCAAAGTTGGAGAAAAGTTGAGCGTCACTTTCTACCACAATCGAGTTGTTGGGAAGCATTCAGCCACATTTGTGAGACACTTTGGTATATTAGTTCGTGATCGAAATATGTATTCATTGCGCGTACACTCCTGGGCGGATATCGAAGAATATAAGTTGCACCACATGTGGGAAGCTGTTACTGTAAGAATTTAAAGTATTACTTTGTTGTTTTTCCTTTTTCTTTTCTTCTTTCACAAATGAAAAGAAAATCAATTTTGAACCTTATAATCTTACATAATAATAAATAAAGTTTAAAGAAAATTAGCTCTTTATTTGTTTATCTTGCCCTTCTTTCTTTTCTTCGATTTTAGATTGTAAAAAAGTACTTGTGAGTTTACATCAGTGCATCTGCTTTTCTTTTCTAGTTTGTAAGAGTTCGAAAATAAAATTAAATGGGTCGAAACTAATAGTTTTTGTTGCTTTCCATAAAAAACTGTCAACATCCTATTTTTTCTGTATAATAAACTGAGAAAAACATTCATTTCTCTTTAGCAAAAGTTTCTCAACAATAATATCTTTTCTATACTCTTCACTGCATTTCGTCTCATCATCAAAGATAAGAAGAAAGACTTCACCGTAATGTTCTTTTGCTGATAATGTATTTTTCAAGCTATTAAACTCATGCATCTTCTTAAGTTTACACTTGAATTTATTTCCATTTCTATCACTATTTTTCTTGTAAATGAATGAAGAATCTCACAAAACTGGAAACTATAGAAAACTGGAAATAAATTGTAGACTTTGTACTAATTTGTATTTGTGGAATCTTGTAAACTTGTTGAAACTACTATGGTTAATATGTTAGTTTAAAGTTCAGTCAATGATTAAGGATATCATCCGTAGATCTGTTCCATTTTGAGTAATAATTAACATCCAAAATAAAATGTTTCCTCCTAATAAAAGTATTTTCTAGAGATGGAAATCTGCAAATGTAAAGAACACATCTATAAACTATATTGATGAATCTGCTCCCTTCTCCTGTTGGTTTGGGAAAGTTAATACAAGATCCAATTATATATGATGTCGAGCATGTTTTCTTTTTTACAAATTATGATGTCGAGCTCTTTCTCATATTTAATAATCACTTCATCTTAAGAGATAAATTAATTTGTCACTAGTAACTCTCAAATGTTTAATTTAATATTGTTGGTTAAATTTTTCTTTTTTGTTTAGTTAAAACTCTTTAAGTTTTATGTTTGATGATATTCTTAAAATATTATAGGACAAATTTGATAGTGCTGAGATAATTGGTCAAAGAGATCGTGTCTTCAAACATATTAGAAGGTTATGGAATAATTGGAGGGGATCATTGCAAATGATTGTGAAATCTAAGCCATTACGCGACGTTCTAAATGATGTGCCTGAGGGAGTCGACAAGAGTGATTGGGAATGGTAGGTTAAGGAGCACTTCTTATCTGAAAAGTTTAAGGTTTGGCTTCATAACAATTTATAGCATCTTAGTTTTTTAAGCGGCCGACTGTACCTTCTATGATCTGTTGTTATTATTATAGGAAAGAAGTACAGGAAACTCAATCAATAGGTCTAAGTTGATTATGCCTCATTGTACAGATAGCAAGCCTATCAGAGAGATTATTTATGAACTGGTAAGTAAATCATGTTATTGTGTTAAGAAACTCCATCTTTCTTTAAATGATTTGTTTGACTTGTTTATTCAAACGCAAAGGGGGACAAAGATGGTAATCAACCAGATATGGCAACTGTTTTCTTTGAGACTCATAAGAAGGACGATAAGCTTGTCGAACCTGAAACCAATGAAAAATATGTATGTTTATTGATAAATTTTATTTTATCCCTTCCTTTGACTAAAAGCATTGCATTATCTCAAAGCTTATAATTTTTTAGGCTGAAATTCAAGAACTGGTACAATCTGAGTCGTCTCTTACAAACATTGAGGTTGTATAAAGATGCTTTGGACCTCAATGCAAGAGTCATGTAGTTGGATTTGGAGGTGGAATAACTGCTAAGGAGCTGAAAAGCGGTAACTCCTATAAGGCTGCACTGTTGGATAAGCTGAATGCAACTCGGAAAGAAAAATCTAGACCCTTAATTTGGTAGTTTGCATGTGATTAGTATCCAGCAATACATTGAACATACTGGATAGAAAAATACTATGAATAGCAGTCAACTAGTCAGATACCTCTGCTCTGGATTTTAGCAGATATCTCTGTTTTGTTCTTTGAAAGTGTAACTTTCTTGTATGCTTTAGCATATTATTTTATTAATACTATATAAAAAAGCAATAGCAACTACTTTGTAGGTAAAAAAATAAATAGTAGTGTCTCTACCATATGTAGTTTTCATTTTCTTTTTCGACTCTTTATTGATATTGACATGCGTTAGATAGTTTCATTCATGATACAAATAGACAGAACAATAGTAGGAAAAAGATGACAGAAATTTATGAATTAGTTTGTTTGGTATTTTATTCTCAATGTAATTATATGTACTGATATGTTTTATTTGCTTTTTAAGATTCTCTTTCTAGAAATTTATCTCTTTATTGTTGTTGTCTGCCCCTCCCCTCTTTGGTATTAGGAAAAAAGAAAACAGTGTCAACAAAGGCACACCATCACTGGAGATGGTGCTTAGACTTGACTGTAGTTTAGCTCTTTGGGACTTTCCATATTATGGTTATTTGAATTCCAGAAAATCTCTTATGATTTATATTTATAATGGCTAAGCTTGATTTATTTACTTCAATTGTTTAATCAACATGCTGATTAAATTTATTCATTTTTTTTCAAATAAAGTAGCTAGAGAAGTTTTTACTAAACTGACACGAACTTATTCTTTTAGCAGATCAAATATTTGAAGTATGAAGACGTCATTGAAAAAAGTGCAAAGCAAGTTGATGCATAATAGATTTTATAGTTTTCTTAGCGGTTGTGTAGGGATGTTATCATTAGTACATGTGTTACTATTTCATTTTCTCTTTTTAAAGAGTTGATAGTGAGAAAGTCATACAGTTTAGATCGGTAAATATTCTAATAATGTGTTGCTTTTTAGTTCTTTCTAATTAACATTTTAGTTTTATGTGAATATATATTGATTACTTATTATTTTTTCTGATGCGTGTGTGAAAGTATATGGAATAATAAATATTATTGTGCAAACACGGAAAAAATTATAATATTATCTGATTGCATTTATTAAAATTTTATATTAGCAATGACTGAATTATTAAATAGGTATTAGTGAAAACAAATTTGGTCATTAAAAATACTGTCGTTAAAAGTAACATAAAATTAATGAAGGGGAACTCCGATCGCTAAAAATAATTATAGTAATCAAATTTGTGGTTGCTTTTAAAGATCTTTAACGACCGGATGACAAAACAACGAGGGAAATATTCGGTCACAAAAGAGTAGGTATAACGAACATAAATTATGTTGTCGCTAAAGAATCTTTAATGACCGACCTCCAATACGGTCATTAACTTTTAACGACGGAGCATTTAGTGACAGCTGACGACCAGTTTTTTCCCAGTTGTTAATGACCTATAGCGACCATATTTGGCCTTTTAATGACTGGATTTTCTGTCGCTAAAAATTACTTTTCTTATAGTGACAACGACGGTAAAAGGAAATGATCTAGCTCCTCACGAAATTGAATCTGTGTTGTTAAAGAAATTTGGAGAAACTCTCATAAAGGGAGCATTGACGTGGTATTCGCTGTTATCTGAGCATTCCACAGATTCCTTTGAAATTCTCGTAGATTCTTTCATCAAGGCCCTGCCGGCGCCAGAAAAATGTATGCCCGAAAGGCCGATATATTCAAAATTGCGCAAGGAGAGTCCGTGTTATTAAGGGAGTTCGTTACCCGATTTAAGAAGGAAAGAATTTTGCTCCCAGTTGTCTTAGATGAATGGGCAACTGAAGCATTCACCAAAGGATTGAATCCGAGAAGTTCGAACGCTTCCTGAAAATTGAAGAAAAGTCTGCTTGAGTTTCAAACAACAACTGGGACGGACATCCACAACTGGTACGAATAAAAAATAAGGATCGAAGATTATCAGGTTGGTTTTCCATTATCGACCAAAGGATGGGAGAAGAACAGAGAAAAGACAAAGGATGATTACGACACAGACATATGATCTTCGAGGGGCCGATTTTTGCCATACGAGCGGATTGAAGGTTGTAGCAGAAGCTTCCTAACAGCAGACAAGTTCACCGTTGATAGAAGGACCGATCGCGGTCGGAACAACAGATCACCGCAGGATAAAGTAATGCACGGCCACGGGATCTTTCTTACCCCAGGTTATCAGAATACAACCTCAACGCCAGTATAATGGAATTGGTGTTAGCCATGATAAATATTAAAAAGGCACAGTTCCCGAGACTAATGAGATCTGATCCCCGACAGAGGGATCCCAACTTATGGTATGAATACCATGGAACAAATGGCCACCAGATAGGGGACTGTCGACACCTTCAAGAAAAAGTAGCAACACTATTGAAGAATGGTCACCTCAGAGAATTCTTAAGAGACCAAGTTAAGAAGAATTATGGTCATAACATAGACAACGTGGAACCTTTAAAAGCAGGAGAAGAACCCCCATGCAAAACAATTAATATGATCTTTAGAGAAAATGATATTAATGTATCGGCAACAAAGAAGACGAAAGTGTCAAATCCTTCATAGTAAAAGGCTCGCGGAAGAAGATATCACTTTTACGGAAGAGGACGCAGACAGATTGTTGCTACTACACAACGATGCACTGGTAATTTCTTTAAATGTGTTAGATTTTAAGATTAAACGTGTTCTAGTGGATCCAGGGAGTTTGGATAATATCATACAATAGAGAGTATTGGAATAAGATGCGACGACCCGACAAGTCGTCTCATAAGTTACCGCTCCATTTCCCCCATTTTTGCTTCTTATTGCCTTGTTCAGCTATATTTTGTGTTACCGGGTTGGTTGGTTCGGGTTCGGAGAGGTTTTGGTAAGGTTTGAGACACTTAGTCTCTTTTGAGGAAGCTTAAATTGGAAAAGTCAATCGGATGTTGACTTTTGTGTTAAAGGGCTCGGATGTGAGTTCCGATGGTTTGGATAGCTTCGGGAGGTGATTTGGAACTTAGGAGCTTGATTGGAATGTGTTTTGGAGGTCCGAAGTAGATTTAGGCTTGAATTGGAAAAATTAAAATTTTGGCATTTTTTGGTTGATAGGTGAGATTTTGATATAGGGGTCGGAATGGAAGTAGGTCCGTTGTGTCATTTGGGATATGTGTGCAAAATTTCAGGTCATTCGGACGTGGTTTGATAGACTTTTTGATCGAAAGCAGAATTTGGAAGATTTTGGAATTCTTAGGCTTGAATCCTATGCAAATTTGGTGTTTTGATGTTGTTTTGAGCGTTCCGAAGGTTGGAACAAGTTTGAATGATGTTATGGGATATGTTGGCATGTTTGGTTGAGGTCCCGAGGGCCTCGGGTGAGTTTCGGGTGGTTAAACAGACCATTTCATGTTGTGAAAGATTGCAGAAAAACTGTTGTGTATGTTGCAGACAATTGGCCTTCGTGTTCGCGAGTAGGCCCTCGCACTCGCGAAGGGTTAGCAGGTGAGGCTGAAGATTTGGCCTTTGCATTCGTAAGGGAGGTCCCGCGTTCGCGAAGGGCTGGGCCATTGACCTACGTGTTCGCGAGAAGGGGAGCCGCGTTTGCGAATGATGGAGTCAGGAAGCATCGCGTTCGCGAGAGATCATACGCGTTCGCGAACGAGGAAAATGTGGTCAATGTCAGTTTGTGCTTCGCGAACACGAGGCTTTGACCGTGTTCGCGAAGAAGGTTTTGAATGCTCGGGCAGAATATTTAAATAGCCATTGTCCGCGATTTTGGGGCTAACTTTCACCATTTTTGGGCGATTTTAAAGCTTTTTGAAGAAGAGGGATTCAAGGGGGAACACTTGGAGGTAAGATTTATGGAATTAATACTCGATTCTAATGTGAATTCTACCTAATTAATCATGGAATTTAAACCTAATATTGAAGAACTAGGGCTTGTAATTGGAGACCTATTATTTGGGAATTGAGGGATCATTTGAGGTTGGATTTTGGTGATTTTGATATGAATGAACTCGGGGAGTGATAAGGAGTCTATTAATGTAATTTTTATCGGAATCCGAGACGTGGGCCCGGGGGTCGGGTTCGGTCAATTTCGGGATTTGTGTTGTAATTTAATTTCTTTCGATGGGCTTTGTTCCCTTAGCATATTTTGATGGTTTTGCACTGATTTTGGTTAGATTTGGAGCATCCGAAGGTCGATTCGAGAGGCAACAGCATCGCGGGCTAGAGATTGGACCAGATAGAGGTGAGTAATGATTGTAAATGTTTTCCTAAGGGTATGAAACCCCGGATTTCACATCGTTGTGCTATATTGAGGTGACGCACACGCTAGATGACGAGCGTGGGGTCGTGCACTATTGGGGATTGAGACTTAGTCCATCCCGAATGACTATTTTACAGCGTATTTGATTGAAAATCATTTGCTATCATCATGTTTTGGGCTGGATGCCATATTTGGGCCTCATGCCAACTATTTGGACCCTTAGGGGATTTTTTACTGATATATCCTCATTGTTTTGACTTTATACTTGTACTCAATCATGCTATATTCTATTGCTTTTCATAACTCAGCCATGTTTACTCTGTTTTAACACATTAAATGATATTATAAATGATAATTTGGGCATCATATTTTACTGTTACTCGAGTGGCTAACGAGATTATGACTGAGTAAGGCCGAGGGCTTATGTTGTGAGGATACACTGATTTATGATTATGAGGCTGAAGGCCTGAGATTGTACGCCACAAGGTGGCTTGTTGATATGATGCTGGAGCCTACTGATTATGCCAAGAGATGGCTTGATATTGCGCTTGGGTCGTAAGGGGCCCCTCCTAGAGTCTGTATGCCCCCAGTAAGCGCAGGTACCCACTGTGATATGAGATATAGCCCGAGGGGCTGGTGTTGTTCTATGTTGTTGCCCGAGGGGCTGATTCTGTTGGTATTGTGTCCGAGGGGAGGTTTTTACGTGTTTATCTTTTCTAGCTTTAAAAATTGTATTTTAAAGAAGCTTAAACTGAGCTAAGATGTTTTAAAGATATTTCACTGTTTTACTGCACTTACTGGTTTTACTTTGTCTCTGTATAGCATGTTGTTGTGTTTTTACGTGATTTCTTATCGCTCAGTCTTCATTTATTATTATTGCTCACTGAGTTGGAGTACTCACTTTACTCCCTACAACTTGTGTGCAGATTCAGGCGCATCGGGTCCCGCTAGCGAGTGTTGATTTCTTCCAGCTCAGGCGGATTCGGAGACTCACTAGGTAGCTGCTTGGCGTTCGAAGCCTAGTGCTTCTCCCCTATCTTATTTTCTTTTGTTTTAGTT